AGCCTGTCTCAGAAGTGTGAGCTCAAACCAAGAAGCACACTCTTCTCCATGGCTTTAAGAGAAAAGAGACTGTGAGTGCCAAGGAAGCTTCCCATTTGCATTTGGAAGGACTCTTCAAGGATCTGTCCCCTGGAGTCACCTTTGATCCACATTTCTCCCAGGCGAGAAGGTGCATAGTGCGCCCTCTGCTGGGAAAAAAGGAGAACACTCCTTATTCTGCCCCATCCCTCAGGGCAGTTACTGTTTGCCCGGGAGCTACTGAGTTGTGTCTCAAGTCGAGGGCTGAGACAGACTCTGGGCTCAGACACAGGGCAGGCAGGTGTTCCATGCCCCACCCCCACCAGGGGGTCTCAGCCACTCCCAGTCACTTAGCCAATGTTTGGACACAAACAAAGCTGAAAGCCAACAGAACCCATATCAAAGCTCGATCCAGGCCACACATCCACCAGTACTTTCCTTCATGTCCCTGATGCTAATTCCTGTGCAGAAACTTTTAAAGAACATTCAGGTTCCACCTAAAAATAATAAGCCAAGGCCACATAGACAATTAAAAAAAAAAAAAGCCAATTTGGTACTCATTTTTTGTTCTCTCCTGTTTGCTTCAGTTAGTTAGACATTAATTTGGAAATGACTCTAAGTTTACAAGAAAGTATTGAGGTGGAATTCACACCCCTCTGGGTGACGGATAGAGGGAGGAAATGACTGGACTGTGATTGACCCGCCTGGTAGTGTCTCCTGGATACTGAGGGCCAAGCAAGTAGAATTTCTCCCACTCAGATCCCAGCACTGTCCTTGTCTTTCTGTGAAGCTAAGACATTCTGCTGGGCCTTGTGAATGACTCACATGGAGTCTGCCGAGAAGAAGGGTATGGAAGGACAGGATGCACAGTTGACCCCTTCATCCAGAGGAGAGACCACCACTGACTTGCCCTAACCTAGGAGCATCAAAGACCTGAGCCTCTGGAGCCCCAGGCTGCTCCCTCGTCAATGCTTCTGAGGCTGCTGCCACTGGAGCTTGACAAAGATGCAAAGAGATTGTGGAAAATCATAGCTGTAAAAATGGCTGTTGATTGGGCACAGAGACAGACACCTGGGAGGCTGAGGCAGGAGGATCACAAGTTCAAGGACAGCCTGGGCAACACCACAAGACCATGAATGAATGGATGGATGGATGGATGGATGGACGGATGGGTGGATATTTGTTAGCAGATGGCAGATATGGGCTACTGTTTTGGTTCCATGAGTAGTTCCCAGTCTCAAACGTTGGACATTCCCAGTTTCTGATAGACCTGGATACTCCTGGAGTATTGCAGAGTCTTTATATTGATATAAATGATTTATCAAATACACCCGTTAAAGTGGAAAACTGGGGGCTAGGATTGTGGCTCAGTGGTAAAGTGCTAGCCTAGCATGTGAGAGGCCCTAGGTTCAATCCTCAGCACCACATTAAAAAAAAAAAAAAGAATAAGTAAATAAAATAAAGTTTTAAAATAAAGTGGAAAACTGGTGTCTTGGAAAAAGAGTTTTTTTTTCTATACCTTTTTATTTTTCACAACAAACTTGAAGTCTTTAAATACTATGTTTGATATAAAAATTAAAAGGAAACCATATAATTAAAATCAGAACTATAAGAAATTCTGTGATGGTTAGGAAGCAGAGGTTCTCAATCTTTTTTTTTTGTTTTCCACACCCACACACTTGTCTCTTGCCCCGGAGGGAGCAGTAGAGGAAAAAGTGTGCTCATTCTATTGTACACTCCCTCCCTTGCTATGGAGAACATCTATCAGGGATCCTAAATCATTATTAAAACCTGGACCAAATTTTTGGCTTTGAATTTCCTGGCAACCAAAGCAGAAGGATGATTTGATGATTCCCTATAAATTGCACCTTCTTCCTGGAGTAAAAAAACACCACCTCTGGAGAAATACAGGCGAAACTGGGCGCAGTGGCTCATGCCTGTAATCCCAGCAGCTAGAGAGGCTGAGGCAGGAGGATCACAAGCTCCAAGTCAACCTCAGCAACTTAGTGAGGCCCTAAGCAACTCAGCGAGACCTTATCTCTAAATAAAATATTAAAAAGGGCTGGGGATGTGGCTCAGTGACTAAGTGCCCAGGTACAAAAATGGTCTATAATTGTGTTTTGTGTATTTGTTTGTTTGTTTGTTTGAAGGTCTGGATTAATCTAGAGCTGACATTTGGACTACTAGAAAGTGATGAGCCGCCTGGTAGAATCATTTCCCTTGCCTGGGGGAAAATTTTGATAGATGAGCACAAGAAGCTCATGGTTGTAATTGCTAGTGTGGCCCAAAGTATGTGTTGAGTGGGCTGTGTGTAGCTGCAGAATAAAGTGTCTACCCAAGACTGACCCAAAGAGATGGCCATCATCCCTCCTCGGTGGGAACATGGTAAGGCAGAGGTATTCCAGGAAAATGAACATAGGAACTCAAACTTTTGGAAGCTATGAAAACTCAAGGGAGGGATAATCAGTTGTTCCTGTCTGAGAAAAGACTTCAGCAAAGGTAAACTGTATATTGAAGTCAATATTCTTTGCCTGGCTTGATAGAAATGATAGTTGAAATCAGTAAAAATGGGACCATATCACTACAAGCAGCCACACCAGTGGTTCTCAAACCTCAGCCAACCCTCAAAACTACTCAAGAGTTTGTTTCAAATGCACAGCCAGAGCCCCCTGGCATTCTGATATGTGGGGCTCACCGATAGGATTCAGCCAGCCAGAGAACCACATATGCCCTCAGACCTCAGATGAGGCGTGAACTGACGCAGGCCAGGCCATCTCAGTTCCAACCAGGAGGATAATATGATCTTAATTCTAGAAGCAAAATGGTCCATGGCATTCATTTTTGCCTGCCTGAATCTTGTGCTGCATGTCTTCATGGTTGATGAAACCAAGTTTGTACACTTTGTTCCCACGCCTTCCTTGAATAATCCCTGGGGAAGAGAATCCTCCAGTCTATGGGATGCTTTGCTTGTTCTTGCTTCCAGTGGGATTCCAGGGGCTCCAACTGATGCACACAGACACTGGCAACCATCAGAGCCTGGTGGAGGCAAATTTTCTCCATCAAACTCATCATCTTCGGGTGGGTGGGTGATCTGCAGTAGAGATTCTAGAAAATTGAATGAACAGAAAATCCTGCCTAGATTCTAGTGGTATATTCTTTTTATATGAATATAGAACTAAGAATAAAATAAATCTATTTTATAGAGATCAAATTTCAAGAGTTTACTCTTCAGATCAGCAAGTTGTGTGAGATATCTTGGAAGGCTACATTATGTCATTGTGAGCAAAAGTAAAATAGGAGGGGGACATTTTTTCAAGTACATTTTGTTTGTTTTTGACTGAATACTTCCTTTGTTACATCCTTCAGGTTTTAAAATTTAAACTTACAGGGCTGAGTTTTTAGCTCAGTGGTAGAGCACTTGCCTAGCATGTGTGAGGCACTGGGTTTGAGTCTCAGCACCACATATAAATAAATGAATAAAATAAAGGTCCATCCACTATATATATAATTTTTTTAAAAAAAATTAAACTTACTTCATTATTCAGAAATAAAGCTATGCTTCAAAAGCAGCATGGGTTCTGCTGGAATTAAGGCTTGCACACACAACCTGCTCTAATCGGACTCCTAAAAAACCTGGTGATTCAAACATCCCTTTTCTGATCACCTAATCATCCATTAGTGTTGGGGGGGTCCCTGCCCTAAATGGTATGAGATGGCAGAACACACCCTGGGTAGAAGGACACAGCTGGACTAGCCATATTGGGCCACCTGGGGGTCGCACTCAGGAACCCAGTGAGTCAGCAGGGAGGGTCACA